ACCGTTCTTCCAATATTTGATAACAACAATGAAAAGCTTAGCAATGGTTATGTTGTAAATCAGCGTACATAGAATCTTGCTACAACTTTCCACATTTCTTGAAAATTTTGTGCCAGGCGCTGTATTTAATAGTGGTTCTGAATGCTGGAAATTTTTACCGTAACACTACAGTAACTAACGACAACTAGTCGCTCCATACTGTAAATCAAAGCTGGAATCAGCTTTACAGATTAGTACCCAAAAATTGGTGAAAGACATCAAAGCAAATGAGTCACTAACGAACAGTGGACATTGGGACATCCTGCATGGAACTTGTCCTTGTTAGCTATTGCAAGATTCTTTGGTAAATGTAAAAAGATATCAGGATTTGCTGAGTGCCATAGTCTTAAATAACGAAAAGCTGAAACTGTTTGTTCTTGATGTTCTTTTCAAAGTCGAGTTCTCAAAGAAAAGACCGGTAGTTGATAAATAATGAAGTTTGAAGAAATTCTTCGAGCATATTTTACACTGAGCTCAATATTTCTTTTAAGGATTATAAAAGTTCTCATAACTTGCAGAAGAGTTTTCAAAAAGCGACTCTAAATCGTCATTCTAGGGCCCCGAGAACGATCCGGGAATCAACCAGCGAGCGATTATGCAACTTTTTGAAGCTGCAGATGGACGAGATAAGGACATGGAATATGAGATCAAAATTTCTATGATGGAGATTTACAACGAGAAGATAAAGTAAGGCTATCAAAGCGCAAGTAAGGAAGTCACAATCAACAATCTCCAGAGACCTCTTGGGAAACTCAAGCACACAGCTGGCAATCAGATTAGGCGAGGATGGTCGTCTATCTATTCCTGGTTTGCGAGAAGTTTGTGTCAAATCGGTGGACCATGTCATAGAGGTCTTAGCGGAGGGAAAGAAAAATAAGGTGAGCACAACCTATTGAGGTGATCTGGGGTGGAGTGATAGTTTTCAGGCAGTCGCAGCGACAGAAGCCAATGTCTGCTCCAGCCGATCTCATGTAATCGTTCGTGTGATCTTGACGACTAAGAACAAAATCACTGGCACTACGTCTGTCGGTACGTTTCCTCCCAGATTTGAGTAGTTTACTAAAGTAAAGGATTTAGGGCGCTTGAATCTTGTCGATTTGGCCGGTTCCGAACGAGTATCGCAAACTAACGCCACCGGACTACTCCTAAAGGAAGCACAGGCTATCAACAAGTACTCAACTCCTCTAAGCTTATCCAAAAAA